TAAAAAAAATTTTCGAACACTCCCGAAAAACCGCGTTATAAAAAAAAAAAACTTGCCTAAAACTTTAAACGATCGAGATTTTAAAAAATTTCGAACACTCCCGGAAATAAAAAAAAATATTTACTAAAATGACAACAACAAAAAAGAAGAATTTAACGTAACTTTTCACTGTTCAAATATATGAAGATACAATTTAAAAAACAAAAAAGAAAAATTATAAAAATTACGTTTTCTATCGCGTCTAGACAGGTCAAAACACGAATTGCAACTGAATTAATTATGGTATTTTTGAGATTTTCAATATCACCGCAATTATTTATTATGACCTACGATTGAAGGTTGCCCTTTGTACTTCAATCTATAACATAAAACTGGGAATGCTCAGGTATAAAGATAATTCCAAGAACGATAAGGCACATTTAAAATACATTACGAAATTAAAATCTATATAAATTAAAAATAAATAATTATATTTTAATAATAATTCCTAATTTTTTGGAAATTTATCTTGTAATTTACAAAAAAAAAAAATTACGATAATTTAAAAAAATTTATTACATAAGAATCGATGTACCTATTTTATAAAAAAAACAGTATAAAATTTGTGAAAATTTATGGAAAATTTGGTAATTTTTGGAAATTTTCGTAGTAATTTACAAAAATTGTAGGAATTTTTGTGATAATTTACACATAATTTAATAATTTAAAGAATTTTGAATGAAAAACATAAAATAATGTAATTTATAGAAATTTGTAAGTGGTAATTTATATAAATGGTAATTTCTAGATCTCGATGTAATTTTCGGAAATTTAGGTGGTAATTTACAGTATTTGCTGTAAATTATAGAAATTTTCTTGGTAATTTATTAAAATTGTTGTAATTTTCGGAAAGTTAGGTGGTAATTTACAGTATTTGCTGTAAATTATAGAAATTTTCTTGGTAATTTATGGAAATTGTTGTAATTTTCGGAAATTTAGGTGGTAATTTACAGTATTTGCTGTAATTTATGGAAATTTTGTCAGTAATGTATAGAAATATTGTTTTAATTAAAAAAAAATTTAATCAAAAAAAAGAAAAATATAGAAAAAAATTTTTTTAATAAACAAAAAGAAAAAAATTGACGGCTAAATATTTTTCGATTTTCTCTCTTAAACTCCAAGAATCGTGCGACCACCTATACAGGACTCACTACATACTATTATTGTTATATACCTGATTTTTACGATCAGACCTGTTCGTCTAAATTATCGTTTCAAGATAATCTAGTTTTTGCGTCTATTTAGAGCAATGAAAAGGACCCCCCATTGTTTGGGGTACGACGTCGACTTTTCGAAACGACATTTATATTGTTATATCTTAGAGGAAAAGTCAAAAGTTAAATAATACTAGAGCAAAATTTTTGACATTTTAAATTTACAATTTTTCCAGCAAAGATTTTCCAAAAAAAAAAAAAAAAATTTTTCTTTTTTTTTTCTATATGTCGATAATGACGACTAATTTTAGCAAAAAAAAAGCATTTTTAGCAAAGTGTGACCTTTTAGGATAAAAATTTCTTTTGTGTTTATAAAGTGCAGGAGTGAAGGTGATTTTTTCTTTCTTTTTTCTCTTAATTTTTGGTCGCCGAGAAAAGAAGAAAATAAAAAGGAAGAATTTTTTCCGCTTTTTATTGTGGGATATTTACAAGTAAAAATGACTTGAAAAGAGATCTCATTATGAAGTGAAGAAGGGAATATAATGAATACATACTAACTTGGAAAATAGAGACGTGAATATATTTTACAAAAGGGACATTTTTTTCAACTAATTTTTTTTTTCTTTTTTTTTTGAATAATTTATTTCTTTTTAAAAGCAAGTATGTATAGGGAGAAGATTTATTCTGATACGAGTCTCGATTAGACAAATTATTCTTGTCTTCTTTAACATAATGATGAGCGCATGATAATTAATTTTATTTCTTAATTTTATAATATTTATTTAGATATTGTCTTGAATTATTTTTTTTCTTTTATGATTTTTAATTAAAATTTTGAATTTTTTTATTAAAATTTCAATTTAGTAACTATATTTGATTATTTTCTTTAATTAATATATTTATTTTAAATCTATTGGAAGTGAATTAAAAATTATTCTATATTTTAACAATTTAATCCTTTAGTTAGAATATATTTTTTTAAATAAAAAACAATATATTTTCACTGAAGAAATAAATTATTTAAAAAAAAATAATTTTTAATTATTACTCTTAATAGATTTAATAAATAAATATAAAAATAAATAAAATAAATTATTAAGAACTATTCTTATTTTAAAAATTTATCTCTTAAAAAAACATTTTTAATATCATTTTTTCAATGTAGTTGTAAAATAATTTAATAGACAAAAAAATTTCATTGTAAAAAAAGGATTACTATTATTATTATTTTTTTTTTGTAATATATAAATTGTCAATAAAAACATAAATATTCCTTTTTTATATATAAAAAATATTTAACGATTCAATGACAGAGACTATTTTTTTAATAACAATCAAATTATTGAGTTATTAAGTAATATAAATAAAAAAAAAAAAAGAAGAGCATTATAATAAATCATTTATGACGCAAGGTTTCACTTTTATGACCAAAGTTGAGAAATAATGGACGCAGTAACGTTACAGGAGCTTCACGATTTTAAGGCCCAATTTTATGAGTTCATAATTATTTTTTATGATTTAAACCACAATTTTTTGAATTGTCTTTTTTTTCATTTGCATTATTCATTCGTCACCATTTTTTTTATTATCTTTTTTCTATTTTTAAAAAACAATTTTTTTTATATCAAATTTATTACTGAGAATTAAAACCCCGTAACTTTTTTGTTTTTATATTTATCGTATACTATATAAAAAAATTTTTAATAAAAATATATACATAACAAAATATTAAATTCTACTAAAAATATAATTTATAATAAATTCCCTTTTTTTAAAACAGAAAAGTGCTTATTTGGGGATGTGTGAGACTCACGTACCAAATTTTTTTTTAAAAGTAAATAATTAATGATAAATTATTATTAAAAAAAAAATATATATATTAATTTTTATTCTAATTAAAATAATTGAATATTAATTATTTTAATTAGAATTTAAAAAAAAAAAATTTTCAAAAATAAGAAAAAATTTTTTTTTTTGCAAACTCAAAACGATTGGAATCTGTTCCCAATTGCAGAGGGAGCGGAAATATTCTACGCACGACGAACTTGCCATGACTTCCGCGCTGAGTGCATTTAGAGTCATCCTAATTTACAAAGCAAATTAACGAAATATGCTAATTTAGAAACGATTACGCCCCAAGTTTTTACTTACCGTTAACGAATATCCTCATATCATGATAATACCCAACTGCGTTGAATTTTATCTGCCCTTTTCCTACTCTTTTTTTTTCTTTTTATAATTTAGATATATAGTGAATATTTTAATTTATTTCTCAGATTCTCACGTTTCCATGAACTTTATATATATATATATCTATATATATATATATATTATAAAACACAATGTTACACTCGGCACATGAGTCTAAAGAAATTATTATCCAATGTGAAATTTTCAATTGAAATTCTCAGAATTATTCTAATTATAATTTTTATATAATAATAAGTCATTTTCAATTCGGTGAAAAATTTAATAACATTTTTCACCGTTATGCAAATTTTCCTCACAAGATCTATATTTATTTTTTTATTTAATTAAAATCCATTTTTTTTACTGTTTTTAATTTTTTTTTTAATTTTTAATTAATTATATTTTTAATTTTATGAATAATTAAAATTAATTTTTAGATTTTTTATTGTATTTCAATTTTTATGTTAAATTATTTTCAATTTTTTTACTTTATATATTTTAATTAAATTTTTTATTCATATTGATTTAAAAAAAAAAGTAGTTAGTTAATTATTAATTTAATTTATTAATTTTAATATTTAATATTTAATTTATTAAATTTTAAATATAAATAAAAATTTAAAAATTTTAATATTTCATTTATTTATTAATTTAATATTTAAATTCATTAATTTATTAATTAGTTTTTAATTTAAATCAAAAATTTTAATAAAAAAAAAAATTGCAAACTTTTATATTTATTAAATAATTTTTAAAATATTAAATACAATATTTTGTATAATATATAATATTAAATTAAAAGTAATTTATATTTTATAATTGTTAATGTGTAAACAATTTAATTTCTAATATTTTAAACTATTAAGAATTACAATAAAAATAATTATTTTATTACAATTACAATTAGCCGTAGGAAAAAATCGAAAAAATTTAGGTAACATAACCTAAAATATGTAAAAAAAAAAAAAAAATATTAGAAGTAAATTTGTCTATACATACTTTCAATAAAAATATTTTTTAATCATTTAATATATTTATTATTATTTAATATTTATTATTATTGTTATTATTATTATTATTATTATTATTATTATTTTCTACTATTTTTATTTTATTATCATTTATAACATTAATCACGTGATCAGTAAAAAAAAATATTTAAACAATTCAAAATTTTAGGGGATTTCCCTAACTTTAAATTAATATTGTGACCAGTTTAGCAGCCGTGTACAGATATTGCCATTGCAAAGGGGCAAATACAATTTTTCAAAATTATGTCAAAAAATCAACGACATTTTTTAACTGCAAATCGAAAGCAATATTATTTATATAAAATTCTTCTTTTTTAAAATAAATATAGAAAAAAGTGTTGTTAGTTAATTTTAAAATCAAAAAAAAAAAAAAAAAAAAAAAAAATTAAAAGGGCCTTTTTAATTAATGACTCGACCCTGCTGTGCGCTCTGTAATGGGAAACCATATCACAAAGTTGTGTGTTTACATTTTTGTGTCCTCGAGATTTTAATCTCTAAAATTTCAAATTACATTTACCACTTTGAAATCAACATAATATATATATATATATATATATATATATATACATATATAATATATAAATATGCGATGTGTGATTTTCGTCGTCTGCTCTAGTTTTAGTATAACTTTGATTCTATAACCGCACTGAATTCTTTCTCTCTAATATGTTCTTCTTATGTATTTATTCACATTGATATTTTATTTGATAATTTTGTCAATGAATTCTTTAAAAAAGAAAAATTTTACATTGTTTTGAATAAATACTTTTATAAAACAACGTAGTTGTCACAAAATAAAAAGAAAGAAAAGATGAACTCGATTGTAAATGTTAATCCTCGAAATTCCGATAGACCATGCCAGCCAAAATCGTAAGTATTTTTTTATTAAATTCGTAACAGTTTATATTTTCATTTATTAATTTTTTTTTATAATTGATTTATTAAAAAAATATTATGTAAAAATACTTTTTTAATTCATAAAAAGATGTGTAATTAGCGTTTAAAGGTTATGTTTATTTATTTTTTTTTTTTTGCATTTTGATACAATTGAGATTATATTCGTATATTTTTTCCGCGTATATGTTTCTATAAATTAATTATCTATTAACCGAATTTTAGTTTTTAAAATTCGTTTTCGTTTACAATAAATATATTAAAACGCGAGAGAAAATAATTCCGCAAAAGTTAACCTAGAAAATTGTCAATTAAAAATTTTCTATTTTTCGAGTTTAGAAATTTATTATACAATATTTTTTGTCATTAATGGATTCTTTTTTTCAGGAATTTTTATTTAGAATTTATAAAATTAATTTCAATTCTCGTAAATGTTTTTCACTTTTCAAAATAGGGAAAACATTGAAATTTGTTTTCTTTTTTTTTCTAATCAAATTTTCTTTGTTTTTTCTAATGAAAACATCAAATATTCTTTGTTTCTTTCTAATCAAAACATTATTAAACATTTTCAATGTCAATTATTATTATTATTATTATTATTGGCATTTTAATTCCAAAAAGGAAATAAAATCTTAATTTTTTGTATAGTATTTTTTTTTTATTTATTTTTAAATTAAAATAAACGATTAATATAATTTTCATTTAATTTCTCATTGTTTTATTAATTTTTTTTAAAATAAATTTATTCATTTAATTTTACAGTAATTTGAATTTTCTTTATTTAATTAATTATTTAAATTTTATTAATATTTTTTTTTAATATTAATATTTATTTATTAATACAAAAATTTCTTTATGTTTTTTTTTTAATACAAAAATTTCTATTTTTTTTTTTATTTGTATAAATATTTTTTGAAAATTAATTAATTTAAAATAAATTTTTAATTCAATTTTCAGTAATTTAAAAAAATTTCCAATTAAAATTACTGTAATTATTATTCCTTTTTTTCTACTAATAAAAATATTTTTAGATTTGGCGAAATCCACGACAATTTCAATTGGATTGAATGTGTTTCAAAAAGAAATCCAAATGTTAATTATTTCTATAATATGCGAACACATTCTAAAACTTGGTCAAGACCAGTTCCCGATTGTGTGAATCTTCCATTTTTTAATCCATATGCGGTATGAAATTTTCGTTTTAAAAAAAAAAAAAATTTCTTTATTAATCAAATCTTAAATATTTCTAAAAATTATTAAAAAATTGAAACAATTTTTTTCGCTCATAAAACAAAAAATTAATTTTTTTTTTTTCAAGGTCCCACAAGATAGAGACGAAAATGACGAGAATGATGATGACAAATTTTTTGCATTTGTTTCCGATTTGGAAGAAGAGGAATTTTATGACGACGACGACGATAACGACGATAATCGACTACTTAAAATGAAGGAAAAAAAAATTCAAGAAACTGCTCTTAAAATTGGTTCACAACTTTATTACAGTGGTTCGCGAAATTTGCGAAAATCACGCAAAAGATATCACAGCGACAATGATGACGATGAAGAAAAATCATCAAATAATTCACAATATTTTCCAATAAATGATTTTTTAGAATTTGATCTTCAATCAGAAAGTTCATCAAAACGAATGCGTTTCTCAAGTACATCAACATCAAATAATAATAATAATAATCAATCAAATGACGATCAAGAGAATCAATTAAATCTCGAACATTTAACACTCGATCAATTTAATTTTAATCAATTAAATTCAATGAATTTAGATGAAATAAAACAAAATCAATTATCCTTGGAACAATTGTCATTAAATAAATGGAATTTAAATGAAACAAATGAAAATGAAATTTGTGAATCAATTAATAATAAATCAATATCATCAGATGGAAGTTGTGATTGTAGTCTTTGTTTAATTCACGATGATGAAAAATCACGTGACGCATCTGGAAGCTGTGACAATACATCATCACAAAATAGTCTTGCTTCACGTTTTTCTGCACCTCGTCTAAAACAAATAACACTCGACGATCTACTCACAGAAACACCAAAGAAAAAACCACGTTTACGTAAAAAAAATAAAAAATTATCCAATAAAAAAATTCAATTAACACCCGATAAACATGTTTACGATATGTATGGAACAAGAACAATAAATTATGAACCAAATTATAATTTTATCAATCAAATTGATCCAAATGGTTTAGAATATTCACGACTCAGTGACGATACAAGTGATTCAAGTCCCAAGACAATAAAAATTGTGAAAAAAAAGAAAAAAAATTGCGACAATTTTCTTCGACGTTTAGAAAATCCAAATTTAAGTGAAACTAATTCTTCAAATGCAGAAACATCGAGTGAATTTGAAGAAAATTCAAGTCCAAATATAAAACGTCTAACAATAATTGTCGAACGTTTATCAAATAATGATAATGATAATGATAATTTTCAAATAAAACCAAAAAAAAAATCCTATCGTGAAATTTTGGGTGAACGTCAATTATACATAAATCTCGAGAGATTGGATACAAAGAGAATTGAATTTTTAAAAAAACAATTAACCAAATTAAAAAGATCGCCATCAAATTTATCTGAATTCAATACAAATTCTGATTCAAATTCAAGTCAAAGATTACGTCGTTCTTGTCGTACAAAAGCGAGTTATCGTGAATTAACAGAATCAGATTATTCCGATACAACTGAAAGTAAATCATCAATAAATTCAAGACGAAAATCAAATTTAACACCACGTAATAAAAAAACAAAATTGATTAATAAAAAATTAAATTTCTCAATAAAAAAATCAAATTCAAATTTAGATACAAATAAATTTAATTTAACAAAAAATAAAAATACATTACGAAGAAAATTAAGTTCATCGTCTTCAATTGATATTCTACCAATTTCACATGATATTTGGTTTATTGACGATTCACAACCAATGAAAATTCGTTTACGTAAATTTCGCAATTCCGATTCCATAAGTACGCCAAGTTTAGGCGATTCAAATTTAACGAGACATTTTCAAATAGAAAAAGAAGAAAATTCCCCCCACTATGAAAATATAGAGAAAATAGATTTCGAAAATTCACAAAATTCCAAAAATTTGACATCAATTGAAAAAAATTTAAAAGAAAATAATTTCCATTTAAAATTAGAGGATAATTCACTACAAATAATTACTGAGGAAAATAATGAAATTGAAAATCCATTTAAGGAAAATTTGGAATTTATACTCAACGTCCAATCGAGAATAAATTTAAACGACAGTAAATTTAATCAAACAAAAAATGTGGAAAATAAAAATATTCAATTAACACTCATCGATAGAGAAGAAACAACAAGAAATGAAGAATTGGCAAATATTGAAGCTTACAAGGCATCAAATAAAATTATTGAACTTATGAATTTTGATGAAAATTCCCAAAATGCAAATGCCGATGTATTTGATACATCAATATCAACTACGTCGTCACAAAAAATTAATGATTTCACGGATAATTATCATATTTTCATTCAACAATTATCACAAGAAAATAATGAATATTCAATCAAAGAAAATCAATTAGAAGAAGAAAATTCACAATTTTTCCCTAACGACAATAATTATTCATCGAAAAATTTAATAAAAAATTATAAACAATCAATGGGATTTTGTCCAATTGAAGATTCGGAAAATTCATTATATGATAATAATCAATTAAGTGAAATAAAAAAAGAATATTTAGCAAAAATTTCCAACAATCAAGAAATTTTAATCGATAATTGTTATTCAATTTTAGATAAAGAAATAGTGAATGCAAATTTTTCAATTGAAAATAATTTTCACGATTCGATGACAAAAAAAATTCATATTAATTTGAATGTTGAAAATTTGGAAAATTTATCAATTGAAAATGAGAGAAATTTTTCAAATCAAATGGAAATCAATGAAAATTCCCAAAAATTGACAATTGAAAATCAATTGGATAATAATTTGGAAAATCCAATGGGCGAATTAATGGAATTTTTACAAATTAAAAATAATGAAAAATCCAAATTTTGGAATATTTTTCAAACTAAAGAAAATGAAACAACAAATAGTGAAGAAAATTTGGAAAATTCTTCGGAAAAATTGAAAATTTATGAAGAAAATTCCGAAATTTTCATTGAAAATCAAGAAAGGGAAAAAATAGTTTTATTGGAAAATGTAAATAATGAGAGGGAAAATGTGGAATTATTAAATATTGAAATTTTACCCGAGAATGAAAAAATTTATTTGGAAAATCAAGAAATTTTGAAAAATCAATTTTCTACCAAACAAGAGGAAAATTTTAAAATTACAAAAACTCATTTGGAAAATGAAATTATTTTGGAAAATTCAAAAATTCTAAATCAAGAAAATAGTGACATTCAAAGTGCGGTGGAAATTTCGAAAATAAATCTTTCTCCCCCCAAATTGGAAATACAAATGGAAAATATAAAAATTTCAAAAATTAATCATTCTCCCCCCGAATTGGAAATTGAATCAAAAAATTCAAAAATTCCCAATTCATCTTTTCAAAAATCACAAATTCAACAAGAGGAAAATAATGAAATTTTAAAAATTCAAAAAATACATGAAAATTTAAAACAACAACTTTCTCTAAATGAATCGATAATTCAATTGAAAAATGAAGAAAAATCATTGAAAAATTCATCGAAATTTATCGTTGAATCAGAAGAAAATTCATCGTCAATTTTATTGGATTTATCATCGGAAACTGAGGAATTATCGGAAAATTCAATCAGTGACAATGACGAGGAGGAGAAAAAATCAATTCATCAATTTTGTTCACTAACGGAAAAATTGAAAAATTCTAATGAAAATTTAAAATTAAATTCGTCAAAAATTTCTGACGATAATTGTTCGAGTACAACGGAAAAAATAGTATCACCCATCAGTTCTTCGATTGATTTTGAAGATGGTAAGAAAAATTTCATTAAAATTATTTTCCTTTCAAAAATGAAAATTAATTTAATTTCAATGTTAATTTAAAATTAATTAGAGTTAAAATTTTATTTTAATAAAAAAGGAAGAAATTTTCTTCTTCTAATAAAATATTGAAAATTTGAAAATTGAAATTGAAAATTACTTATTATTTTTTTAAAAATTATAAACTTTAATTTTAAAATGTCCCGAATTTTTTACTCTTTACTATATTATTTTGTAAAATTTTCATTTTTTACTTATTCCAATAATTAAAATTTTTTACTGTCTTAAACTAATTGAAAAATTTTTTTTTTTCAATTAAACTAATTGAATTTATTTAAAATTGATTTTTCCTCCAATCAATTCATAATTTTTAATGAGTAAAAAATTTTTCTATCATTAGATTTACAGCTATTATTATATTTTTCAGAATCTGATGTAACAATAACAACAAAAACAACACCAACAGCAACAAATAACGAATCTCATCAAAAAATTACAAATGATGAACATTTATCACCAGGAATATCATCAACAATTTATGTTTCATCAACAGAACATGACACTGACGATGAAATTGTTGCTTAATTCTTCCTTAAAAAAAAAAATAAATAAATTCCAATTCATTCATTTAAAAAAAATAATAATAATAATACCACCCACTCATTAGGAATTCAAATATGTAAATTAAATTATATGTAAATTTTTTTTTAAACAAAAAACAATTTAGCAGTAGAAAAAAAAATTATTTTTAATTATAGTTTAGAAGATAGACACAAAAAGAACCAAATATTTAATGAGCAGGACTTTAAAAAAAAATTCTTTTTTATATTTTTGATAAATTTACTAAATTAAAAGTGTCACTTTTTTTTACGCAAATATATTAATTTGAAGTTATATAAGTTAAATTTTATAGAAATACATTTTTCTTGACGAACTATATAAATATGATAATATAATTATCGTATTTTAATTATATAAAATATATATATATATTTACAAATTATTATGTACTTCATCATACATTGCGTGTGATTTAAAGTAAATAAGAAATATTATGTTTGCAAATAGTCTTCTAATTAAGGAAGTTCAACGTTCTTGAAGACAAAGTTTGTAAGCATTTATCATTTTATGTACATTTGATAATTTATAAAACAAAAAATATATATTACTGTTTCAAGCAAAATTTAATTATGCTAAATTTGATTTTTTTTTCCTTTTTATTATTATTATATTATTATTACTAGCAGAATTGAACGCGCGCAAGCGCGCCAAATTGAGTATTTAATTATTTGTTATTAATAAATTAATGATTAATATTATCAATAATAATTTAATTTATTAGAATATTATTACATATTAAATGATAATAATGAAAATTATATGCTTACAGGCCTCGGATTATATACGACTTTTTCCGATTTTTTTCAAAAATATACGACTTTTATCGACTTATTTTAATAAAATGCGACATTTTTTTTTACATTTGAAAAAAAAAATGTAAATAAAATACATTTTTTTTAGTATAAAATGTAGATCTTCTTCAGATCTTCTTCAATTCAATATTATTTAACAAATTTTGAACTAAAATGATTCTTCACTAAATTAATTATTTTTAATAATTTTAATGAAATACATCACAAATTCAATTATATCAAATTTATTTTTCAATTAAAATTTTTATGAAATTTAACAATTGTTTATAATTTAAAATAAACTAAAATTCAATTATTACCCGAAATTTTAAATTCAAAATCAATAAAAAATCCAATAATTATCCAAAATTTTCAATTTAAAATTTAATTATTTACCAAGTTTTCAATTTAAAATGAAATAAAATTCAATTATTTTCTAAAATTTCTATTCAAAATTAATTATCCAAATTTTTAATCAAAAATGAACTTGAATTAAATTATTATCCAAAATTTCAATTAAAATTCAATTATTTCCCAAAATTTTCAATTCAAAATGAACTGAAATTCAATTATTTTTAAAATTTTTAATTTAAAATCAATAAAAATTCAATTATTTTTTAAAATTTAAATTGAAATTCAATTATTTTCAAAATTTTTAATTCAAAATCAACTAAAATTCAATTATTTTCCAAATTTTCAATTCAATAATTTTCGAAAATTTCAATTCAAAATCTATTATAATTCAATAATTTTCGAAAATTTCAATTAAAATTTTCAATTCAAAATTAACTAATATTCAATAATTTTCGAAAATTTAAATTCAAAATTAATTGAAAATTAATTTGAATTTAAAAGCATCTAAAATTTAATTATTTCTAAAATTTTCCATCGAAATTTTTTTTTTTTTGAAATTTAATAATTTCAATTATAACTCTAAGGAAATTCAATTATTTTTAACTTTTTTAATAATATTGTTTGGAATTTCAACTATCTGAAACCATTTTTCAATTAAAAATGATTTTCAAATTATTGTATTTTGTCCGCATTTTCTAATAAATTTTTAGTGAAATTTTTTAAATCTTTGAAAATTCAATTAAATTTAAAAAAAGTTTTCCAAAAATTGTTTGATAAATTATTTTTAGTTCTGGTAAAATTTAATAATTGTTTGAAAATTAACAATATCTTTTGAAATTTAATTATTTCTAAAAATTTCAACTTTAACCCTTCGAAAAGGATTATTATTAAAAAAAAAATTTTTTTTTATTTAAAAATCTGTAAAATATTTTTGTTAAAATAAAAAACAAATCCACTTTTTTTTGGAATATAAATCCAATAAAACGACTTTTTTGTGTCTTTAAGTTGATTCGTGGCCAGTTTTTTTTATAATTAATATATTTAATAGGTATTCGTTGGCCCCTGGTAGCTTAAAAATAAATTTTTTTCAAATTACTATCTTGTACAAAATTTCCTGGCTCATCTTTTTCTCATCATAAATTTTTTGTATTTGTATACAATTTTTGAATCAAATATACAAATTTAAAAAAAATTTCGTTGGTAAACGTTATGTGTACTTCAGCTTCGTGAATTGAATTATCGAATTTGGAATTTTAAAGAAACTTATTCCGAAATTTTTGAAACACAATTATACAATTTTGGCAAAAATGAGAAAAAGAATTGCGTCAAAATTTGACACGTCATAAGATTACTATTCAAAAGAAAAAAAAAAAAAACACGTGAAATCAGAAAAGACCAACTTCAAGTTAGGACAGAAGGACAGACCAAGCATTTTATTATTATATAATTATTGTATTATTAATTATTGTATTCCCAGGTGAAAATGATCCTCACGAATAACGTGTGGAATTCGTCCGGAATTCGTCCAAATTCCCTTAAGAATTCGTTTAGAATTCGTTCAGATTTCCTGTCGAATTCTGGAAAACGCCGTGTGGCGATTTGAAACAGAATTCGTCCACAAATTAAACGGAATTCGTGCGATTTTGATAAGAAAAACGAATACAAAAAAATTTTCTCTTAAATTTCCGACCGAATTTCGTACGGTATTCATATCAATTTCTTATAGGAATCCACACGAAGTTTATATAAAGAATTCCTTAGTAATTCGCACGAATACCGCGCAATATTCGGTCGAAAAAGTAGGCGAATATATTTTTAAAAAAATTTTTCATCCAAAATTCCGTTCGGAATTCCCATCAATTTCTTATAGGAATCCACACGAAGCTTATTTGAAGAATTCCTTGGTAATTCGCACGAATACTGCATACTATTCGGTCGGAAAAGTGGGCGGATATTTTTTTAAACAAATTTTTCATCCAAAATTCCGTTCGGAATTCCCATCAATTTCTTATAGGAATCCACACGAAGTTTATTTAAAGAATTCCTTAGTAATTCGCACGAATACCGCGCACTATACGTTCGGAAAAGTGGGCGAATATTTTTTTAAAAATATTTTTCAGCCAAAATTCCGTTCAGAATTCCCATCAATTTCTTATAGGAATCCACGCGAAGTTTATTTAAAGAATTTCTTGGTAATTCGCACGAATACCGCGTACTATTCGGTCGGAAAAGTGGACGAATATATTTTTCAAAATATTAATCAGCCTAAATTCCGTTCGGAATTCCCATCCATTTCTTATAGGAATCCACGCGAAGTTTATTTAAAGAATTTCTTGGTAATTCGCACGAATACCGCGCACTTTTCGGTCGGAAAAGTGGACGAATATATTTTTCAAAATATTAATCAGCCAAAATTCCGTTCTGAATTCCTATCAAATTCTTATTGGAATCCACACGAACTGTTTTTAAAATATTCGTTAGTAATTCGCACGAATACCATACGAATTTCGGTCGAAAATTTGGTCAAAATTTTTTTTTGTATTTATTTTTCTGAAAAAAGTTGCACGAATTCCTATTAAATTATGGACGAATTCTGTTTCAAATCGCCACACGGCGTTTTCCAGAATTCGACAGGAAATCTGGACGAAATCTAAACGAATTCTTTCGGAAATCTGGACGAATTTCGAACGAATTCCAAACGAATTCCTTACGAATCATTTGCACCTGGGTTATTATATAAAATTAATTATTTTTAATAATTTCAATGAAATTCTTGACAAATTCAATTATCTTAAACTATTTTTCAATTAAAATTTTTATGAAATTTAATATATTGTGACGCGCTCTGATGAAAAGGACCTTAGAAGTAAACGAATTATAGGTTATGTTTACGATAGTTTTTTACCTTATTAAAAATTTCTTTTTATTTATATATATAAACTTAAAATCAGTTTTTATTAAATATTTTTAATATTATGAAGACTTAAATATCAATAATTTGTATTCGAGAGTTGATCCACTTTGTTTATTTTCACTTAAAAATTTCAAAACATAACCTATAATTTTTTTTTGCTTCTAAGGTCCCTTTCTTCATAGAGCGTGTGTCTATATATTAAATTATAAAAAAAATATTCAAAACATTCAATTAATTTGAGCTGGAAAAAATGCTCGGGTCTACTGGACCCATATGGTGTCAGTTAAGGGTTAATTTTTATTTTTTCAAAAATATACATATATAGTTAATTTAACGATTGTGTTTTATATGCGTATTATATGCAATAAATATTAATAACAATGATATAAATTAATATATTTACTATTATTTATTGCATATGCGAGAAATCTTGTTATTTGCGAATAAATGATAAAGTACTTTTAGATTTGTTTCCGCTCCAGCAATTGTGTAGTTTTACTTTTACAAGTTCTCAGGCATATATATACATATAGTACTTAAAGTACTCTCTGCTAAGTTTTGATACGAGTTTATAGATAAGACTCTATAAACGTAAGGGAGTGCCCTGCACGGTAAGGTCACCGTGTCAGGGGCTTGTCACCGTTCTCCACACACACACACACAATATTCTCTCCCTCTCTCTCTCTATCCACGCCTCCACACGCAGATCCGCACAAGATTTTCTGCGATATTAAAAAAAAAAAATTTTATTTTTTTGAAATTTTTGAAAAAATTTTGAAAAATAGTCACAATTTTGTATCAAATGAAGACTACAAAAATTGGAAGCTAATTAATAAATTAATTGAAAATAAATTTTTTTTGAAATAATTTTTAAAAATAATTAAATACAAAAAAATAAATCTTTTTTAGTTACTGAATTAAAACATTTTATTTTATTTTCTTTAAAATAATATTAAAATTTTATATCATTGTTCACTATAATTTAAATTTAATATTTTATAATGTAAATAAAAGTTATTTTCGAATTATTTTTTATTTTTTTGTTTTTTAAAAATATATTTTGAAATATCAAAAGAGTGGTCGAATGTGTCATTACTACAGTTAATGTGAGAAAATCTCACACAAGGGATGATTTGGCTAAATTTATTTTTGGAGTCAAACTCCCAAAATTCACAAACCGCGAATATATATAAGTCAACATTATAAGTTCACAAACATTATTATTATTATTCATAGGCCTTCCGGCTTTTGAACGTTATTATTATTATTATTATTATTATTATTATTACTATTGACAAATATTAATATAGTATTATATTACATTATATTATATTTGTCAATAGAGGGGAAAGACCTGAGTAATATCGGACCACTCCGACAGAATATGATTTCAATTGTCCTTATATACTAAAACTATGAATTTAATCACCACTTGTGAGAAACATGATTTTTCATTTGTCAATAATTAATTATTATTTGTCAATAAAAATTTGTCAATTATGATAAAA